ATTTCAGACAAATGTTTGTCCAATCTCTTCCTAAAAAACCTCCAATGAGGAAGCACCCACAATTTCTGGTGGCAAGCCGTTCCACTGGTGAAGTGTTCTCATGGACAAGAAATTTTTCCTTCGTTCTAGGTTGCTTCTCTCCTTGAATAGTTTCCATCCGTTGCTTCTTGTCCGGGGGCTTTGGAGAACAAATTGACACACCCCTCTTCTTTGGGGCAGCCCCTCAAATATTGGAAGACTTGCTATCCTATCACCTCTAGTCCTTCTTTTCGCTAAATTAGACATCCCCAATTCCTGCAGCCGTTCTTCTTCGTTATGTTTTAGCCTCCAGCCAGCCCCTTAATCATCTTTGTTGCTCTTTTCTGCACTCCTTCTAGATTCTCGACTCAAAGGGTAGGAAACTGGCTGGCTGGGGAGTCTGGAAGTTGTAGTCCCAAGTCCACGGGTTGGGAAAGCTGATTTTAGGCAGAATTAATGGCGCGTTTGCCTGCTTCAAGCTCTGCTCTTCCACGGAAACCTTCCTTAGAGCACCCCCTTGCGAAAGATGAAGCCAAAATAAGGAAGGTTGGGGGGGTCTTCCTCCATCCCAGCATGCTTTTCCCCCCCGCCCCCCCCCCCCCCCCCCCGCAAAAACAGCTGGGCCCGTCTCCAGCTAAATATATATACCGGTAAATCCACGGAAAACCGATTCCTGGCTGTGCCTTCTGTGGCCAGCAGGTGGTGCTATTGGCTTACTTTGCTGAGAGAGGCTGTCTGGAAATCTTTCAGGGACATTCTAGATCTAGATTCTAGAACATGATAGCAATTATTCCAGGATTTGAGGGGCTGCCACAAGGAAGAGGGGGTCAGGTTATTCACCAAAGCACCAGAGGGCAGGACGAGAAGCAACGGATGGAAACTGATCAAGGAGAGAAGCAACCTGGAATTAAGGAGAAACTTCCTGACAGTGAGAACAATTCACCAGTAGAACAGAAGTTGCCTCCAGAAATCATGGGTGCTCCATCACTGGATGTTTTTGAAGAAGAGACTAAACAGTCACTTACCTGAGATGGTATAGGTTCTCCTGCTTGAGCAGGGGGCTGGACTAGAAGACCTCCAAGGTCCCTTCCAACTCTATTCTATTCTATTCTATTCTATTCTATTCTATTCTATTCATTATCCTATCCTGTCCTGTCCTGTCCTGTCCTGTCCTGTTCTATTCTATTCTATTCTATCCTATCCCATCCCATCCCATCCCATCCTATCCATTTTCTATTCCTATTCCATTTCCATTTCTATTTCTATTTCTTTCTATTTCTATTATTTCTATTTCTATTTCTGTTCTATCCTATCCTATCCATTTTCTATTCCTATTATTTATTTATTTATTTATTTATTTATTTATTTATTTATTTATTTATTTATTTATTTATTTATTAATTGCATTTATATCCCGCCCTTCTCCTTACGGACTCAGGGCGGCTGACAATTGAATAAAATACTAACATATATACATACTTAATTAAAATTTGATTAAAACGAAATATTTAAATATGTCCAATTTAAAAGTAATTAAAACCCCCTTTAAAATCCC